TCCTACAACAGGTGAGCGGTTAAACAAACTGTGGCACACAAAGCCATGGAATACTACTCAGCAATAAAAAGGAATGAGCTATTGATACAACAATAAGGATGGATTTCAGGGGCATTAAAGTAAATGATAAACCTCAAAAGATCACATATTGCAGGATTCCATTTATATAACTACAGTTACCAAACAGGACCCACTGGGGGAAGTGGATGAATGCTAATGGGGACCTGTCTGTACTTACCACCTGAGCAACTTCCTGTGAATCTGTAACTATTTCAAAATAAGACATTTTTTATAGACAGCATTGTAGAAAATAAATTGTGTTTCAGTGGAAAAGTATGCACTGTCTACATACAGCACACCCTCCCCAGTCATCTGATTCCACTCCTTTCATTGTCTTTGAACTAGTTTTACAACTTGGGAAGTTTAGATTGGTAAGTGATAGACCTGCCGACCTGTGTCTGGTGGCAGTTCCCTTCCCCTCTTCACTCACAACTCTCATGAAAACAAACATTTATGCATTCAATTGAACATTCTTTTATTTCAAACAAATCCGTGCTTTTTTGATTTTCCCCTTAGAATAAGATGAGGGCAGAGAGCAAGTTACAAAAAATCTTTACTGTCCATTCACTTCCCTGTCTGTCTGAGAGTCAGGGTTGCACCTTTTCTGACAATTGCCTTTTGGGAACATAAATCTCACTCCCCAGTGTTACACCTCCAAGATGCTCGTTGGATTTAGAACTCCCAAACGCTTCCCCAGGTATACAGCCTGGTCCTAGCCTGCCCCTCCGGCCTCATCTCCTCACTCTGGCCCAGCCCCGAACCAGCACACCCGAACATTCACCGTCCTCTCGGCTCCCTGAGAACATCAAGTTTGTTCCTGCTGATGGCTCCTGCCTCTGCCGTCCCTCAGCCTGGACTGCTTGTCTCACAGATTGAAATAATCTGCTTCATAGGCTTAAGTAAACTCTCAGCTCCACTGTTCCACCCCAGTGAGGTCTTCTCAACCACTCCATCAAAAGTAACATCCCCACCCTAACATTTTCATCAGTTAGTTCTATCTGAAACAATAAAGTATTATGTATTATATGCTTTACATATTATTATATTTGTTATATAAGCATGCTACATTATATTTCTTATAAGTTATATGAACATATTCATTATAGATTATATAAACATATTAAGTGTTCAGTTCGGTACCAGTGTGTTTATTATCTGTCCATTCCAATTCCACAATAGTAGGATTTTGGAATCTGGTTCTACTATATACCCCAGTGCTTAGAAAGGCACCTAGCATACAGCAGACATGGAATAATTCCCTGAGTGAATAATGCTTCTGGAAGGAGCGAGGTCCCCATCACTGGAGGTTCCTAAGCATGGTGTATACAACCACTTAATGGGGTCATAGAAAAGCTGTCAGCATAAACTGGGTCACAAGAATGGAAGACCGTTAAGGCCCCTTCTAGCACCATCAGTCTATGCTTCTGTGGCCAGCACCCCTTTCTGCTGTGCAGTGGGAAACGCAAAGGAGTATTCCTCATTTTCCACCACATAGCAGTATGCACACCCCTGTTCCTGCTGCAATATCATTTTGGCATTAAAATGTTGAAGCTAATCAGACATTTAATTTCAAAGTAGAAGGTCATTATCTTGTCACAAAATTTTATTCCAATTACTTTTTTTTCCTATTATACGAAATGAATTAAAAGTAGCACAAAACATTGGGAGATCAAACAGTCAATCAGAAGCTCATTAAATATCATTGAAATTGGTGCAATAAAAAGCATTTCCCATGGCTGACATTATTTAAAAGCTATATTCTGGATGGCTCAAGAAATTGACAAACTGCCAATCAAAAAATCACCCTGTCCATAAATAGGCACTTGACTTTTAAAAGTTCACTATCTATTTTTCTGAGATAGAGTAAATATCTAAAAAGATTTAAAGCTTGAGTGCAATTACCATCCTATCAGCCCCTAAGAGACCCTAAAGAGAAGATATCAGCAAAGTCACCATCTGATAACTTAGACCAGCGATTTTCAACCGGAGTGCTGCAAGAATTTTTAAAACATGCAATACCTGACTATTTAGTCAGGACACTGACGTCTTATCCCCTTAGATTGTCAAATTAGAAAAAACAACAACATCCAACACAATAGCCATCCAGTGTGAACGAATCAAAATTATCCTGTTTTTTGGTCAGATAGGCAAAAATATATTTTTTCGTGTGCTACAGAATTTTAGTAATTAGTTTATGTGTGCCTGAGATGAAAACGGTTGAAAATCACTGATTTAGGCTATAACTTAGAGAAAGAGGCTTACGAAGTGCTACCAGTGATTTTATAAACACTTCAATACATACATTCATGTACATTACTCAACTAATATAATCCCAGGCAGGAATTAGTGGGTCGGTTGCAATTTTAAAATTGAGTTCAACTCCACACTTGGAATAAATGCCCACTTTATTTTCTAAAGAGTGATTATTAAACATTTCATTTTTCTATGGACCCAGACATAGGTGACAGCTAGCGTGAGGATCTGAAAGCTAATCCTTTTTAATGTTATAATATTCACCCTCTAGAAGCACTCCCCTACCCACCCCCAATTTTTTAGAAAAGTTTAACCACTCATTTTTATCTTTTAGTTTTATAGAAACACTCAGTGTTTGACATGCAGACTGGCAGACCCTTTCAGCTGCTAAAATATAACAGAAGTACTATTCCCAGTAGTATTATTCTCTTAAGGTGATGTAAGTGATGGGATGATGCAAATTAAAAATACATAAGCAAAAGAGAAAGAACCCTATCCCCCACCACCATTCACACACAACCACCACTACCCTAATTTCTTTTCAAAAGCCTGGACTTACTGGCAAATTATCTGGGAGTAAAGTGGGAGGGAAAGATTTCAATGCAAAAATCAGAACTGCTTTATAGAAAGAAAAGTGTGGGGAGGTTTGTTATCATTTATTTCCTCCAGTATATCATTCAATTTCAGCTGTCTCACATCTCAGGAGAAGCTCCTCCATTTCTCACTTACGTGCCTAAGAAACGTCTTCCTGGCATCTCATTCTCTCTCCCGTCTTTCACCAGCATTTCATTATTTTTTAACTGTCCCTCTCATCCTTGTCTCCCTTTTTCCTAGTGATCCACGTGTCCTCATTTAGCAGTTTTCAGAACCCAGGGAGAAACGTTGCAAATAATGTTAAATATGATTAATATCTTGAATTCCTTGAAATATGACATGCATGAGTTACAATGAAACCTCTTTTATTTCCCCATGAAATGCTTTTGCATAATGAGAAAGAAAATGTCCTCTATGCCCTAATCAGCCCTGACAGTTCCTGGACTCCCAAATACTTTTATTTATGGCATTATTTATTTCATCTCTAATAAATGGAGATTGGGGAGAAACCACAGCATGATCTGGGGAGGTTGCAGGAGAGAGGGAGACTATGCAGGGAGATGGCAGTGGAGGAACATAGCAGCTGAACCAGGAGTGAGAGAAGGCTTCCAAAGGAAGGGAGGAGCTATGGGAAATGAGAGGCCAAAGACACAAATCCCCAGAAAAAGAAAATGGGTCACTTTCCCAAGACTAAATGGAAAGCTATGAAAACGAATGGAACTCAAGAGTGTAAAGATGAAGGTTTTACATCAAGGAAGGAGCTGTACCCAGAATTCACACCTGGAGAATGAAGACTGAAGGCTAGAAAAACAAACCTGGGAAGGGGGTATGCTGGTATTGGAGTTCACCTAGGGGAGGAGTGATCTGCTCTAAAAAGTGCCTGGGACGCCAGGAGAGTCCTCCAGATTTGAAGATATCACTACCCCCATGAAACCCTCTTCCAAGTGACAGAGGCTCACTGAGAAAATTGTGTGGCCTCCAGAAACCATGCCCTGGTGGCCCCAGATGCAGAGAGAAACTGGCTGGGCAATACAGAAAGTAAGAAAGCTCTCGGGGGCCGCATCCGTCCCACAAGCATGTATACATATACATCAAATGATGGTTTTGAAAATACCTAATCACCACCTCAAAGGGAGGCATCAGATCAAGTTTTACCCTCAATTGCTCAGTGTCTATATGCTATGAGAAGAAGTGAGAATCTGAATTCAAATGCCCTAGATGCATCCGTGTGGGTGTGGGCTGTTTCCTCGAGGAACCTCAGTTTTCTCATCTGTACAATGGGGGAAATGATTTTGTTATGCACTCACAGGGCCTCTATGGGGAACTAACCAAGTAATGTGAAAATCCAACGCCCTATGCGCTCTTAGGATGAACTTGAACTCGAAAGCCACTTGCTGGGTGTGGGGAGAACCCCGATCCAAAAAAAGCACAGCGCCTAGGGTCAAGACCTTCGACAGGCTCTTTTCAGAAGCCTGGGGGAGCAATTCCCAATCCGGGAAGAACTGGCTGTAACACCTCCCCAAGGCACGCACGCACGCACGCACTCTGGCCACCCCGCCCTGTCCGTCCAAACTATACCGCCCGCCACGCGTACAACGCCGAGAGTTTGGGGTAGCGCAGGGGGCGCCAGGAACTCGTTTCGGAAGCTGGACGGCGCTAGGGGCAGAAGCCTCGAGTCCATCTCTGGGACTCCGAAGTCTCGCCTTGGTGGAAACCTTACCCTATTACCAGGTCGCCCCCCCCACCCCCATCCAGTCCCTGCGGTCCCCGTCCTCTTTCCCATCGAAGGCGCACACCGGCTGGCCCACCCTGCGGGCGGTGGCGGCGCCAGGCCCCGCCCCTCCCCCCATTATCATTAGCAGATATTACCCTAAACACTTGCTCTTTACTTCCTTTCTCCCTCCAGGCATTGGCGAGGCAGCCTGTCAATCAGCTCTCGGGCGGCAGCCCCCCGCGCGGGGGCTCAGCGATGCTAGGCTTAGCGACAAGCGGCAGTGACGGCGGCAGCGGCCACGGCACAGACACACACCCTCCCACAGGCGCGCACTCGGGCAGCGCCGGCGAGCGGGCGGTGGAGGCACCCTTGGAGCCCGGTGCGGGTCAGGGAGGGGGCGTGCGACCGGGGACCGGCCCCGAAGCGCAGCATGGAGGAAGAAATGCAGCCGGCGGAGGAGGGGCCCAGCCTCCCCAAAATCTACAAGCAGCGCAGCCCCTACAGCGTCCTCAAGACGTTTCCCGGCAAGAGACCCGCGCTGGCCAAACGCTACGAGAGACCCACCCTGGTGGAGCTGCCGCACGTCCGGCCGCCACCGCCGCCCTTCGCGCCGCACGCCGCCGTCTCCATCAGCAGCAGCGAGCCGCCGCCGCCGCCGCAGCAGCAGTTCCAGGCGCAGAGCACCTACCCCCCGGGGCCCGGCCGGGCGGCCGCTGCCGCAGCCGCTTCGTCGTCATCGCCTTCCGCCGCGTCCCAAGGCCACCTGAGGACTCCCGCCCAGCCGCCCGCCGCCCCCGCCGCATCTTCATCTTCGTCTTTCGCCGCCGTCGTCCGGTACGGCTCGGGCCCTGCGGCTGCCGCGGGCAGCAGCAGCGCTGGCAGTGACGGTGCCAACCTGGAGCTCAGCGCAGGTACCAACTCTTGGGCGCAACTTTCCTTCCCGCCCAGGCCGAGGGAGGGGTGGGGACCGGGGAAGGGGAAGCTAGGGACGGCGGACACCCTCCCGCGCCTCAAGTCTGGCGGGAGGGGTGGGAGTGGAGGGGGACGGTCACCAGGCTGAGAGTCTGAGTGTCCAAGCGCGTCCCGGACACCTCCCCGCGCGGGCAACAAGTTCTGGAGGATTCCGCTGCACTGCTGCCGCCGCATCCCGGGCTTTCGACGGTGCGCGCGCGCCTTTTAACAGGTGGCTCCGCCACTGGGATCCGGCTTGGCGCCCAGGAAGTGCTGCGGTGGCCAGTCGGAGGCGGGGATCATTCGGGCGGGGACGTGGGAGGCAGCTCTGACGCCGAGGCCGCGGGCCGGGAGTAGGGATCGGACACCCTAAGGTGACAGCCGCGGCCGTTCCTAGAATAGCTTGAACTGCTCCGGCAGCTCTCGGGGACGTCCTTACAGCGTCCGCTGCCCCACTTTTTTCCTTCTATTTTTTTTCCTTTACCTCCCTCTCTCTGTTTGTTTTTCCGTCTCTTTCCCCTTTGCCTTCTGGTCGTCTTTTTCTCCACCTCTTTGATGCACTCAGTGTCGCGGTCTACTCGGCTGGCTCTTATGCGCGCGTGGTCTCTACCGCTCTTTTTCCCCACCTACCCCAAAGTCCCAGACCGTGGGTGGAAGACTCCGGACTCCTCTGCCCCAGCCACGAGGTGGAACTGGCGCTCGCCCCTGCGGCCGACTTCGGGGAAGGAGACATCCTACCCCTCGCCCCAGCCCCGAGAGTCCGGGCGCTTCGGCCCGCTTCCCACGCCCGGGTTGGGGCACTGCTACACCTTGGGGGTCCCCCGCCCTGCAGTATCTGGGCCTAGGCCTGCGGAAATGCCTCGTGGGGTACATCCACCTCAGGGAATGAGATTCTTCTCCTTTATCGGGAGCCTGCGGGCGGCCCCTTAGGAAAAGGCCAGCCCTCCTGTCCCGGCGGCGTGAAGAGAGATGGGCTGGTAGAAAGGCCAAGGCCTGGGGCCTGCGTACAAGGGCGCTCTGTGCTCCCCGAGGACGCATAGCCACGTTTTTCTAGCTCATCAGAGCTAAAAGTTCCTTCCTCAGGCCTTTTATGGCACCTTGGAGCCACCCCCACCCCCCCACCAATTCTGCATATCAGTGAATCTAAGGCTTTATTTCTAATGCAAATATGAGTATTGTCTCTAAGTGAGTTATAGGTTCCGACGTTAATGTTTTGTTGTTTGTCAATATTTTGACACATGAAGGATTGGTTTTCAGAAAGAAAATCTAATTATAGGTTATAGTGAAGACTTGTTCTGTTACATACCTCACTGATTTGGAGGTGTTTGAGTGCTTTGAGTGCTGTTCTTCTGTGGGTGTCCTTATTGTTTATGATGTGGGGTTTGTTTTTTTCAGTTGCTCTTGGCACCTTTTCTGTTGTGTTTTTATACTCGTTCTCAGGTTACTTGCCCACGTTTATTTGTCTCCTTATTTTTCTTCTCACAAAAAGAGGTTTGTGTTTCATCTCCCCGGGCTTGTTTGTGCCCATTTGTATTCCCCAGCTCTGCTTTATCTTTCTATAGATTTATTTTGTGTTTCAGTGGTTTGGGTCCTTTTCCCATTTTCTATATTTTGCTTAACTCATTTGCATAACCTCAGTTCCACCGTGTTTACCGGGGTTTTCCCCTTCCTTTTCTGTCCATTTTAGCCTTTACTCTTCTTGCCTTCTCCTTTCAGTCTTTGCTGAGTTGGTCTTTTACTTCCTTTTATACACTATCGATCTAACCCCTTGCCTTTTTCTTCTTTTCTTTACACCTGTCACTTGCTCTCCTGTCCACCCATCGTCTTGCCTGCTCTGGCACTTTCCATGCTGCTTTCATTCATAAGCAGGTTTCCTTTTCTTTCTCACCTGTTCTAAATGCTCTTTTAGTGTTTCTTTTGACATCCTATTTAGTCTACTTTGTCTCCAGGTGGAAATTGCATCACCGAATCTAAAGTGAAAACGGCCTTTTGATGGCCCTGAAACAACCTACATTCCTTATTTTCTTTTATTGTCAAAGCTTCATTTTTTGGTTGGTTTGTTTTTTAAGAGAGGTCATAGAGAAGTAATCTTAATAACACCAAGGGCAGGATGCCACATGCTTGTTGGAAAGACGAGTATTAAATGGTAGGTGTCTTCCATTAGAAAATGGTCAGGGGCACACACAAAAAAAATGCCCATAGTCCTAGACATCATGAATTGTGGTCATATTAATCACTGATGGACAAAGCCATCTCTTAACAGACATGATGTGAGTGGCCATCAGAGGGACAGTACCTAAAGAGCTGATTGGTTATTTGAAGAACTAGTGGTTCCACTTTGAACCAATGAGCTTGTGCGTACAGAAGGGTGGCCAGTTCAGCATGCTGGATGGGGGTGGTGGGGTGATTTGATTGTTGCCCCCTCACAAAGTGTTATTGCAGTGTCTCAAACCACCTGGTAAACGGAAAATAGCCAGAACATCAATGTGATTAAATGAGTCAAGGATAGAAGAAGAGGGATAAGGGTGCCCAGGGTAAATGCAGTGAAAAGGTGAAAGGATTGAAGTGAGTCTTGTTTGCCATTAAGGGCCATAAACCATTGAGAGAACTGTGTGATTAAAAATAGATTTCTCAACATTCTTATAAAATCTCACGAACAGTATAATTTTCCTTAAAAGGGGTAATATACCATGGTTTTAAAAGCATAGTTTTTCTCTGTGGGAGGCTTAGAGTTAAAACCCACGTAGATCTTGATACGCGGCCTAAATTTGGCATCAGGAAATGGGAAATTGCATCTTTAAGCAGAGTACAATCAAAAATGAATTACAATAAATCCTATATAATTGCATAGGTCATTCTCTTTAATGAGATTTTATTAACCTGACTGTCAAGCTTTTGAGTCAGGCAGATATTTTATCTTCTTCAACTGATAAAAGTGTCAGCTATAAACCACCATATAAATATTCATAAATCTACACATCTGTGGCAGCCTATCAGCATCATTCTTTTGGACATTAAAAGCATTCTAATTACTTTCTGTCTAGCAGAGCTGAAATGCTGCCTGTTATAGTATGTGCTTGGCAGGCATGATTGCTTTTGTTTGCCATCACAAATAGCAGCATCCTATTTTATATACCGATGGTCCAGAAAATATTCAGGGATTGACTGAGCAGGATGAATATTAGGAAGCACCATCTGGTTTTGATAGCACCAAGTATATTAACTCATCTGTTAATTTTTGACACATCATTGATTTATTTATTTAGAAAAATTGCATCCTGTTTTGCTGTATTGATGTTTGCCATTATGAAAAAAAAATGGGATGGCATTTTTTTAAAGACATAGTTCATTGATTTAACTCAAGGGTGATACTTCCAAAGAGGCTTTCATTTTCTGACTTCAATTTTCTATGCCATGGAGCCCTTTCTTAAAAAGAAGTTGTATTAATGTTTTAAAGAAATTATCAATTTTGAATTAGCTGGAAATCCTTTGGGTAGATATACTATATGGCTACATGATAGTAGGTCTCAGAAATTTTTTCTGCTTCTGCATTTTTAATATTAATATATTTCACCCTTCGCTGGGCTAAAATCAAAAGGTTACCACTAATCTCCACAACTGTGATCTCCTTCATAGAAACAGAATACTCTTGGGGATATGCTGTGATGGGCAGATTCCATTCAAGGCTTTACTTACAAAGAAGGACATTAAAGTAGGGAGCCGGTGTTGGACTGCCAAACCCCCTTCCCTCTTCTTATTCACTTACCAGATGGATTAAACCACTTAAGTTCAGAAAAAATTGTAGACATGAATTGTTTTGATTAAAAAAATAATCATGGGTTCAGACTTTGGAGTCAGCCTAAGTACTGTTTGCAGCATGATATTATCTCCCAACAGACAACAAAATAAGTTAGAAAGAAGTGGTTATTTTAGAGTGGTTTGTGACTGTGACATTTTGTGTTTGATTTTAGAGAAGTCCGGACACATAAGTATTTTAAAGCCCTTTTATAAGCTGTTGGCTTGCTACTTCTCTACCATCATCTGAGTGGAGCATTGTGAGACTAGGGGGAAAAGCAGTTAAAAAATTTGGGAATCTGTGTTCACACTTCGCACAATTAAGAATCATGGATCAGTGGCTGTTCAGTTGCGTTCTTATGAAAACAGAACTTTTCTCCACTTCTTAGTGATAATGGGCACCACGCAATGCTTGAATTTCTAATTATGTGCTGTCTGGAAAGCTAAAAGCATTGCTGGCTACAATATGTATTAAGTAGAAAGAGTTACTGTGTTCTCCCAAGTGTAATAGTAATGTTTTTCATCATACTCCTCAATGTATTGATGTTAACATTCTATTCAAATATTTTAAGATACTGAAAAGAGAAGAAATTCAATTTTAAGGCTTATATTTGCTATTTTTGCATATGTCAATTCTGAGGATAAAGCATTTTGTGAAAACTGCTAGCCAGAACTGTTTATGATTGGAGCTGTTCTCCGATGTTCTGAGTGTGTTTTATTTAATACATTATCTTCATAATGTAGCGTATTACATAATGATTTTTTTCTCAGCATATTATAAGTTTATTCTTCAATTAAGAAAACAAATTATGGTTGTCCTGAGTCAGATTCTTTTCCCTTAATCTATACCCTAATGTGATTTATCAATATGATTAAAACTATAAGGGTCTTTTTGGACATTGAACAAATATATTGAGAATTCTTTCTGGACAATTTTACCTTAGCCTTTCCTTTCATATTTTGTTCTTTTCATCAAGGTTATCTTAATGGTATGTCAGCTGTAAATCAGTGGGGACTGGGCTGATTAAAATGCAAACAGTAAATACAACTTCTGGTCTAGAATGGGATTATAGGATTAAAATGCATGAAAACTGTTAGTGTGTTACAATTGAAAATTCCCAATCAGTATCATCCTTTGATTTAACTAATAAAAGAACAAAAACCTGGAAGTAAAAAAATGAGAGGACGACATCTTAAACCTCCCCACTATTCAACTGTTTACTCTCTTGTTTCTGTGGTTTTGGTCCTTGTAAAGAAATGATGCCCAAACAGCTAAGGTCTTTCCCCATTAAGTTTTGGTTTAAATCTTGAGCTCAGTCGTTTTTTCCACTGGGGCAGGGGCATCATCAGTTCCAGTGGTTGGCGTAAGAGATACTTCCCATACCCATATCCCTTTTTCTCCAAGGTAGTAAATGGACTTTATTCTGGCAGCTTCTTCAGCCCAGTTCTCAGTCCACGAATCAGTTCTAGCCTGAATCTGTGCCTGGCATCTAGGTCCTCTGTCGTACTCAGAGTAATTGTGTGAAACAACAGGCCTTCACCTGTTATGTGTGGGATTCAGGACAAGAGTACAAATGCAGGCCCATCTATCGTCAATCTAAATAACTGAGAGGCCTGAGTCAAGTTATCAGACTGTTAAAATACGTTCTGTCCGCCTACCCTGATGAAGACACTGTCATAATGACCGTATGATGAGTCATATAGTCAGTCATACTTTGACATCGGTGCTCTCAGCCAGCCCGGGGCCTTCTCCTAGCACCTCCAGTCTCATCTTCCTGTAGGAGGGACCTCACACACACACTCACTCACACACGTGTGGATGCCCCACTTCAGACTTCTAAGCTCTGGCTCCATGGTCTGTCTTCAGGGAGATGGCTCAGGGAAGAGACTAGCACAGGCCTTTGGAGCAGTTTGAGCAGCACATTCCTGGGCCGGGGGAGCTCACCATGGGGAGGAACGGGGCCCTCCTGCCCGTGTCTGGGGCAGTACTACGCCCTAAGAGTGAGGAAGCGCCACGCCAAGAAGAAAATGTGGCGGGTACACAACCCCCTCAGGGTAGTCCTGCCAGCCCCACCCCAGCCAAGTAACCTAGAACTGCTGTGAACTAAGGTTCTCTGTGTACGGCCGCCCACCCTGCTTGCACTCAGTGAAGATTGCCTGAGGTCCTGTGCTGGCCCTCACGCCCCAGGGCTCTCAGACCCACTGCGCCCCACAGAGGTGCCGTCTCTCTTCCTCTTCTGAGCCAAGGAGCACGGGCCTCTGTGTGCCGACTTCTCGTTTCTTCAGAGGGATGTAGGGACGGTGGCATTTTGTAGGTTCAGGAGACGTGAAGGGTGCTCCCTGTGTGCCGGGCACTGTGCTCTGCGTTTCACGTAAGCTCATTAAATCATTGAAAAAGGAGACTTGACCCCCCCCCCCCACAATACCGTAGTTTTTTCCGGAAAGACTCAAAGAGCACAAAATGGAACCTGAAGTGCTGCAGGGAGGTTTCTGAAAGGCGCTTGCCTTGGTCATACATCCTGGATTTTCTGGAGAAATCAATTTCTCAGTCACAACGCGTCTAGGTCCTTGTTCCCGTAGAAGCCCTTGAGGATTTCACCATTTATCATTCTGAGAGTTACAGGGTTTTTGTTTGTTTTCAGAAAAAATCCAGCTAGTCAACATTTTCAGAGACAGCAAGTAGCTAGTTACATTTCTCTCATAAACCATCGTTATTGGCACCAAAAATCTACAATATTCCGTTTGTTGCCATTATTCTGGGACGGAGGAAGGGAGGCATGCTCCTTCCCTCTGTGACGTGCACCTCTCTGTATCCGCACCTAGCCCGTTCTGGGTGGTGCTCGGGAAAGAAGGGACTCCAGTGCCTTGTGACATTTACATTGAGAATAAATTTTCAAGACCTTTAGACTGACAATATTAAATCACATTTTCAAAATTTGGGGTTTTTTTTCCCACTTTGTTTTTTTGCAGTGAATTGATTGCTTTCTGTTTGCTTTTTGCCTCTGCCGATTAACAGTTAATGTGCTTTACAGTTCATCTGTGTGAACTAACTGGCATCCTCAGCACATGCCATTTTAGGAGATTTGGCAACCTAATGGGAGAGGCTCTACTGCTTTTCAAATGATGCTGACATAGATCAGCCTAAACATTGGCCTTGACGAGAAATCTAAGTGGGCAGATAAATTGAAAGGGCCGTGGACACGGCTATTGGAGAACACATACAGTTTTGCTTTGGAGGCATCATCATCTGCCTGATGGGCCTCCTCTTTGTTTTACCTTCTGTATCTAGTGAGCTCTTATCTTTTCTTCTCCAGTTTGCATCTGGGAGCAAATACTCTCGGCAGGGATCGTACCAGCTGATTAATAGCAAGGGCACAAGGGCACTCCAGAAATAGAAGTAATGATTGCTCTAAGCCCACCTTTCAATGAGGAATTGAGTCTGCAGTGGCTGGCTCGATTCATTAGCGTAAAGACATTAATGAAGCCATAGGTGTGAGTTCAGATCTGTGCAGGCCAGTTACTGCCACAAAGAGGGAAATCTCTATGCGGTGCCCAAAGTCCCAGTCCAGCCATTTCCCAGAGTGAGGGGCTGGGGCAGCTCATAGGGCTCCTCACCAGCCAGAACAACAGGAAGCTGTACGTCCTATTAAAAGTGGATTCTCTGTAGCACCTTGATGTGTTAAAAAATGCATTTTTAAAATATTTTTTAATGTTATATTCAAAATCAAGGACTGGACTTATCCTTCGTCTTTGGCTGTTGGTTTCTGATGCGTCGTTTCGTGTGTTTCAGAGAGTCGCATGATCCTGGATGCCTTCGCCCAGCAGTGCAGTCGAGTTCTGAGCCTCTTAAATTGTGGAGGAAAACTTCTGGACTCCAACCACTCTCAGTCCATGATTTCTTACGTGAAACAGGAAGGCCCAAGTTACACTGAAAGACAGGACCAGTGCCACATTGGAAAAGGGGTCCACAGCCAGACCTCAGACAATGTAGACATAGAGATGCAATATATGCAAAGGAAACAACAGACTTCTGCCTTTTTGAGAGTCTTCACTGACTCCCTACAAAATTACCTGCTCTCGGGGAGCTTTCCAACTCCGAACACCTCTTCGGTCAGCGAGTACGGCCACCTGGCGGACGTGGACCCTCTGCCAACCTCCCCGGTGCACACGCTAGGGGGCTGGACCTCCCCAGCAACGTCCGAATCCCACGGTCACCCATCTTCCTCTACACTGCCAGAGGAGGAAGAGGAGGAGGAGGAGGAAGGCTACTGTCCTAGATGCCAAGAACTGGAACACGAGGTTATTTCATTGCAGCAAGAAAATGAAGAGCTCAGAAGGAAATTAGAGAGCATCCCAGGTACCGGCCAGTGGCAACTCATTCCTTTCCATTGTCTTGTGTGTGTGTGTGTGTGTGTGTGTGTGTGTGTGTGTACATGCATGTGTGTGTGGTTTGTTTATTTGCTTTTGGCCAGCAATGGCTAAAAATTGGAAAAACAGGTATGCTCAGAGTACCCTTAGCCTGCCCACGCCTGACAGAATTTCAGGATGAGCCACCAGCCTCATCCTGTGTTTAAGCCACATTCTTCTTGAGTACAGGCCTGAAGAGCATAGCCCTATTAAAGGATGTCTCGCCCTGGCTGGTTCGAGCATAGTCCCGGAACCAGAAGGCCACTGGTTCAATTCCCAGTCAGGGCACGTGCCTGGGTTGTGGGTTGGATCCCCAGCTGGGGTGCATGCAAGAGGCAACCAACCGATCAATGTTTCTCAACACCGATGTTTCTCTCCCTCTCTCTCTCTCCTATCCTTCCCATCTCTCTTAAATCAACAAGCATGTCCTCTGATGAGGATTAAAAATAGTAATTTTAAAAGATGTCTCTTATCAATAAAAGTGACTCCTTAGATATGGTGCAATGAGGTCGGAATAGGACCAGGGCTTTGAGCCTGAGTTTCCTTCAAAAAAAATGGCCATGTTCCTTTAAAATGGCTTCTGCATTTTTAAAGACTTTGATATATGCATTTTATTAATCAGCGATAGAAATTGAAATGATAACCTTCAGAGAGACAGGACTCAAGTAATAATAACAAATGATCTCTTCTGTTCCATTAATTTCTCATCTTTCTTGTTAAGTTACAACAAGCAGAGTCTCTTTTTAGCTCACACACTCCCCCTTAAAGTTCGTAAGCAGCTATAAACTAAAAGGAACAGATCCGAGACAGACCAGCAACTAAGCTGGTCCCAGACTGTTTGTGCCCCCGGCTGAACACAAGGCTGTTCCTGCCTCTAGAGATACTGCATTTGCAGAAAAGTGAAACTCACCTTCACGACAAGGCCTTCTCTGGGTTGCAGGGCCTTTTTTTACTACTTAGAATGGTATTGATTTTGCTTATTTCTTTGAATTCATGCCTGCATGTCTGTGGTGGCTGATAAAAGATACTAATGTTAAGATCTTTAGCTAGAACAGTATCTTCAAACCTCTTTAATCATACAGCCATTCATAAAAGTTTCTGAGCTCGTACCTCCCACGTACATGTTTATTGGTGTACATCGTACCTAGTAGATGTTCCACACTAACATATTATGTTCAAAATGAAGCATACGCAATACATTTAAATTTTTAAAAGCTGATACGTAAATATAAGTAGAAGCTACTTTTTTTTTCCTAACTTGGTGTCTTTGTGCCGTCCAGTTGGGCAGCTGACCCGGAAAGGACTTGCTGAAGAGAGTTACCCACTTGTTTACTAGCACACGTAGAAAGCAAAAACAAGTGTTAAGAATTGCCGGATCAGAAATTTATTTTCCTTTCATGTAAAATTCTTTTACATAGACCTCAGGTCTGGGTCAGAATATTTTGGAATTAGATTTAGAGCAGCGGCTTTACGGGAGAGAAGCAAGAGGCAAAGTAAACCCATCCTCTCCTTGGTGTTTGAGCCTTGGGGTTAGATGCAGAGTCAGGGTGTTTCCCACCGGGCCAGTACTGACTTCACTGCAGGGGAGAGACTGGGTGGGACCCGCAAAAGTACAGTGAACAGAGCGTGCCGGGCTTCTCCAAGTCAGAGAGAGAGGGGCACAGCCGACGCACTGTGGGATTTTACAGCTCACCCAGCTCCATAAGTTACAGCCAATTGACTATGGGTGTTATACCCAAAGGGGTATTTTCCATTTTACTCCCCACACCTGCTCTTTCATTGGGAGAGAAAATAGTGACCTGGAGACCAACTAACTGTGGATACTTATTCTGTCAGCTCCCCAGAACTGCGGGGGAGGGTTTAGAGTACACGGACAGGTGACATAAATGTCCAGGGTAGTATTGCCTGATTCCTAACCCTGAATATTTGATAGACCACTTGTCCCTGGTAAGTTCTAAGCAAATACGGGCTGTCTGTCCACCTCTCATTTCCTGGATCGGTACCAGATGAAATGTCTCTGTTAGGGAGAACTCATCACTGACCGGCCACGAGTCATTGTCCTTCTCTCCTTCCCAGAAAGGCAAGAAAAACGTTGCTTGAGCCCTGCTGATAACTAGATACTGGGTGGCACAGGTTGATACTAGACTAGTAACTATCACTGTAAACATTTCAGCCCTGTTGGTAATCATGAACTTGAACCTGTAGACATTTTACATGGAGAACCACGATCGCTTTAAATGATTTATACCAAAACCCAACTGTATAGATGAAGAGTAGTTATGAATAGAAAAAAAAATTACTGTAAAGTATAGAAAATACTTTATTTGTGATTATTTCACACACGTCCTTGCTACCCAGGGACACCTTAGCATTGGGCATCAGGTTGAACGTGTTGCTTTGAGATGAAAATGTGACTCAAAGAGACACCATTGCCCTGTTGCCCTCATTTCCCAACCTCTGTTTTGGCTGAACGACCAACCAGATCACCCAGGAACCCACTTTTCACTCTTACTAGCTGTCTCTTTTGAGTGGGGGAAGCGGTTATTTTTAGTTACCAGTTTGAAGAACAGTGCAGCAGGCAATACTCTGGGTTTGCACGTAACGAGAATAGTCCTCGAGCAGTAACTCCCTGGTGTCATGTGGGCTGGATTTCCCCTCAGCCCTGTCACTGCTTCCCAGGGGCCTGCGTAGGCCTCCGTTGTCCTAGAGGCCAGCACTTTTCCGTGGGAGATCTCTTCTGTGGAACCGACCCTTCTGTTGGGGGCCATTCTTACAGCCAGACACGGTGGGTGACTGTAAAGGAGAGGCTAGCGTCCAGCAGAGAGCAGAGGGGACAGGTGCTGGGGGCCCCTGCTGTCGGCCAGAGCCCAGACGCTGCTCCCCAGCCACTTCGCCACCCTCCAGAGTCCCGCTGCTGAGCCCCTCTGAGATTCCTGTTTCTGTTTTTTTCCCTAAAGTAAAGCATTCATACCCGAAAGCAGTCCTTGAAGTAAAAGTTCAAAAGCAGTGAGCCTATCAGTTTACAAGAAAGAAAAGATTACACTTGGGCAGCTATAAAAGGGGGAAAGGGAGGTGGCAGACCTTAGTAAAAACAAAGGTTCTTTCCAGCACCACTTGCGAGGGTCTGCGTTACTATATTATTTGTGAAACACTCAACAAAGTCTCACTAATTAATTACCAGCTGCATGCAAGCCAGGGGCTTCTGAGCAGTACTGGCTAACTTCCTTCCCAGAGTTAACTTGCAGACGTAGGCTACTGAACGTGCATCCCAAAGAGGCAGCCTCAGCACGTTTTCTTCTGTATTAGGTTACCCCACTAGAAATTAGTCTGTTTAAAACTTGACATTTTTTTAAAGAAAGTGAAAATAGGTCAAAGGGAAAAAGCCACACATGGAAAAGATATTGGGATCAGGAATGCGGAGAGCTGCGAAACTGTGAAAGGAAGGGCAGCGCTGGGGAGGCTGCTCAGGGAGGGGCTGTCAGGGCAGAGCACTCACGTTCAGGTTTAGAGACCCTGCGGCCAGCACAGGGTGAAGAGGAGTCAGGAGAGGGGGCGGGTGTAAAATACCGTTACTTCGTCTAAGTTGAGCCCCCAGCGAGTGTAAGACACACCAGTGCTGTAGGCTCCCCTAAGAAGAAGACACTGTAAGTCGTGATTGCACGTTATAATGATCTTTGAACACCAAGGTCAGAGATTTTGAAATAGGGAGAATACAGGTCTTAGAATCATAGATATGGTAATTTAAACATAATTTCCTAGCCCTGGCTGGCGTAGCTCAGTGGATTGAGTGCGGGCTGCGAACCAAAATGTCGCAGGTTGGATTCCCAGTCAGGGTACATGCCTGGGTTGCAGGCCATGACCCCCAGCAACTGCACATTGATGTTTCTCTCTCTCTATCTCCCTCCCTTCCCTCTCTAAAAATAAATAAATAAAATCTTTAAAAAACAAAAAATAATAATAATTTCCTAAGTTACACATTATAGGGAAGATATACTTGTTGATATTAAAGAACTTTCTACTGTTTTTTTTTTTCATCCTCACCCAGGATGTGTTCGTTGACTTTAGAGAGAGGGGAAGGAGAGAGAGACAGAGACAGAGACAGAGACAGAGAGAGAGAGGGAGAGAGGGAGAGAAACATCCATGTGAGAGAGAAACATCAATCCAGTTGCCTCTCGCGCGATAAGGGAGCAAGTCCATGGCCTTTTGGTTTACAGGACAACATGCCAACTAACTGAGCCCCACCAGGCAGGGCAGGAACTTTTTGCTCTTTGAAAAGTATGCTTATGATTCATACTTCAGTTTATCCTCGTCACTCCAGTACTTCCATCTCACAGACAAAGAGGTTGAACCTGGGCAAGCGATGTCTGCGGCAGACCTAGGAGTACGATCCCAGCGTCCTGGCTCCAGATCCACTGTATCCCCCTTCCGTGCTCAGAAATAGTTGATTCTCAGTATTCACAGTGTTTATGTTCTGTAAACTCGCTCTGAACACTGAACCATTACTCCTAGGGGAAATACAGAGCTAGGTTCCTGTGAGCCTCTGGCCACAGCATTTTCATCAGCTGATCAATACATAGCCATGTTTTTATTTAAAGAAACCTTATTTCATGTATAGTGTTGGCTGATTAACATTGAACTCATGGCACTGTAACTAATGCCAAAACGAAACTTAATTAACATGTATTTTCTCCATGAGGCATGTCACAGCCTTCTTGCATTTGGGAACACTAGACAGCACTCAGCTGTACATTCGGAGTATATTTTAAACAGCGAAATCACCAACAGTGAGCACAAAAATGCGAAAACTGTGGCGCTGAATAGACCACAAAAAAGATATTTGTGTGTGGTGTAGGAGCTGAAATAAGGCAGAGCGTTACCTTGTTCAGCCTCAGCTGGGGATGGGTGCACCAGGCTACTCAGAGTTTTCAGTGATCTGCAAATGACCACCAG